GGCGGCGTAAACGGCGACGTTATATTAAATAATGGAAAATAAAAAGTTAAACAATTCAGAATGCCTTAATTGACATAACAAATATAAGAGCTACTAAAACTAATAATACCTTTTAAGTAACATTCAAATATGGCACAACTATAGCCTTCTAAATTATGTAACGTAGCATAATGATATTAAAAAATAATTTTTAGCAAACCCCCATGGATTGCTAAAAATGGATGCATTAACACCTCCCAGCCAAACTCTCTTAATTTAATGAAAAACCACCTCCCTTCTAATGATTAATTCTGTCCGCTTTCTCTCATCTTTAATCTCATCAGTTGTTTACAGTAAAGTTCAGAATCGATGGTCTTCCCTGGCGATAACAGCCCATAATGAATAATGCCCTTCCAATCCCACCATACAAACAGCATCACCTTTTTGCCAGTTAAACAGGGTTTCACCACAGTCTGTAAAGTCTGACCGACCTTTGGCTACGATTTTTTCGCATGTTCTTGTCTTACGTAAACTCGTTATCATCACCAGTTATCAGCTTCTTCAAAAATGATTCGGTTTCATTACGCAGCAACAAAGAATCACAAAAGAGTACATGGTTCAATATAGGTTTCTTTCAGTGAGCTACGTCGTAACTACTGATATGCCAATCTTGCTACACTTTCTTAAAAATGGCATCCATTTTATTCGTAACAGAGCGACCGGAGCGAAGTACACCTTTAACATCAAAATTTCTGGGCTGAAACGCTTAAACCAAATTTGTGCTACTCTCACCGAAACTGCACTAGGTTCATGAACGTCATATTTCTTTTTCGCGGCTTACGTTGCATTTTCACCTTTTTATAATAAAATTTTAAAATAATTTGACAGTAAGAAAAACAAAGAAAAATCACACATTTTCCTAATTTGAATACGAAATCTTCTTTAAAATCTAAACTTTTTTATAATAGCGAAACCAGCCACATAGAAATGGTATAGCGAAAAAATTTATGCATACTATATGCGAATTGCGAAAAGACTTCTCCAACCTAATAGTTATCATGTATAAAAATTATTTTATTGATATTATTATTCCCAGTTAGACGCAATCGTTTAGCCGTTTTAGTAAGGCCAGCTACAGAGAATACACGTGCTAGGTGTGTTTGCAGCGGGATAGCTAGAGTAGACGGTATAAGGGTAAGTATTTAATTTATGATTTCTGCCAACTCTATCTTGTAGACGATTGCTACATTAATTGTGCAATTTTGTTAACAGCTGTAACTAAAGAAGAAAGATTCGATTGTTTATTTGTTTGCATCTGATCATTGACTTTACTTTTGTATTCATTAAAATTATACTGGATATGGAAATAAGGATAGAATACGGAACGGAATTAACATGTGCCGCAGAGAATGCACTACGTTGCTTAGCAACCGAGCGAACGAATGTTACTCGCAGTTCGGCCATCCCGCGCCGTTTACGCCGATCTTTCTAACCGGTCAGCGGCGGCGTGTCATGATCGGCGGCGTCGATCATCGGCGTGGCGCGGCGCACACTCTATTCCTCATTAATTTAAATATCGAAAAAATGATATTAGAGATATTTTTCGTACTAATAACAAAAATATTAATTTTAAGTCAATTACAATCAATTTTAATAGTTCAATGTTGAAGGAAAAGTTTCTTAAATCCGACAAGTAATTTAATCAAAAAAACCGCACCAATACTCTGAACATTACTCACATAAAACTGGGTGATAAATCAAGATTGATCTATGTATCAGAGTTATTAACAGCAAAAGCGAAGAGGTTGTTTTATCTTGCACGTGATTTCGCCAAAACTAATCAATATGCGTTTTGCTGGTCGTCGCGTGGAATAATCTTCATAAAAAAAGCGAGGGTTCACATACGAAACGCGTTGATGGTGAAGAGAAGCTACTGGGACTAAAGGGTAAATGACTAGAAATAAACAATGTACACTATATTAAATCAGATGCATGTCTTAAATTGCATTATGTGTTTTTATGTACTTGCTTATATTTAGTTACGTGCAACATAATATAGGCAACTGTATGACAGATAGCCTAACAAAGAAATTTTATATGCTTATAATTGGATACAGTGCCTACTTAAGCCTTATATATGCTTCAAAGTCAGCTTTGTGCTTAAATGATATGTTGTCTATACAACGACATGCTTATATAGCTTGTTTGATGCTTATAATTTGGTATATAGATGCTATGTATTTCTTGTTTCATTGTATGTACATGCTTACATCAAAATGGAATAGCAGAACTCTGTTATATTCGTGGGATTTTACTGATGATTGAACTGATGATGAAGAAGTTGAAAGAACAATCATCTTGCTCAAGTCTGATAAAGCTGTTGGATGGGACGGTATCTCGGCTGGTCTTCTAAAAAGGCATAGGCCTCTTCTTGTACCTCCACTGATGTCCATTTTAAACCTTCGTTTATCCCTTCTTTTAGCGCACTTTTGCTGGTGTGCTTAAAAGAGTTATGATCCACTCAGTCTACAAAAATGGTGATTCGAGCCTCCCTGGTAACCAACGCCCCATTTCAATTTTACCAACTATATCAGTAAAAAGATCATGACTTCTAGACACATAAATATCTTGAAAATAATGAGTTGCTATCCAAGGTGATTTCGTGCCAAAAAGTCAACTTCTGATGCTTTGCATGAAGTTAATGATTACTTGGTGCATAACATGGACCGAGGTAGTAAGCGTTTGGCTGTTTTTTGGATCTGGCCAGGGCGTTTGATACTGTCTCGATACCACTATTACTGGCCAAGATAGAAAAATAGGAATACTAGTTACACAACTTTCTCTTTTTGCTGATTACGTTAGTAGCCGAACACAATTTGTAAGATTGACTAGCAAAGTAGTTAGTTTTGATTTAGATATATTGTATGGAGTTCCCCAGGGTAGTATACTGGGTCCTACACTATTTCTTGCATTTATAAATGACCTCTGTGAACTCAAACAACACAATAGTTACCTTCGCTGACGACACGGCGTTGCTTTCCTCGGGAAATTCCTGGGAAGAGGTCTTTCTATACTCCCGGAATGGTTTTAGTAATGTATGTGCGTAGCTTAACAGAAATTTATTATCACTTAATTGTGTGAAAACTAAATATATGCCTTTTGCACTACGTACTGGTAGTTTGCCTCCGAAAAATCTGTTTAAAATTACGGCCCACTGTTGCGGTCTTTTTGATATTACAAAATGTTCATGCCAAACTACAGACAGCATAGATTCTGTCAAATATCTTGGTATTATGTTTGACAGTGAACTAATGTTTTCCTCTCACATTAAATCTCTATGTGGATGAGTAAGGGAGTTTATTTTTATATTTAACAAATTACGCCATGTAGCTGATACGAATGTTCTCAGAGAAGTCTATTTCACAATCTTATTGCTATTTCGCATATTATTATTATTAAAAAGACATTAGTTCCCGAAATCAAACTAGATGCCGCTACAATACTTTCGTGATTTCTCCATGACAATCATTCCGGTTTTTTCATGTAGTTATTTTTCAAAATTCAATAAAAAACTCATATTCTATTTATACTTTTTCGTATATGTATCTATATATGGATCTAAGTTTCGAACTTTGTAAATTTCATTTTTAAATATCAGCTACGTAGTGATTTGTTATTATGATTTATTTTTCCTTTACAGTTTAATTTTTCCTCCACTTGAGTTCACTCACCTCCAAAAAATCACCATAGATTTCGTCCCATAGCTATAAAATATCCCCGAATTTAGTGGGTATTCCCCCAATCTGGCAAGTGAACTGAGTCAGCTTGACGTTCATTTACCTCCCCCCGTCCTGCCATTTACATACCTCAGGCGGTGACTAGCACTTCCGCGCACACTATACCTCAAAAAGTATCGATACCTCTTAAGTATCACGTCAAAAGTATCGATTCCAAAAGTACATGGTATTCTAACAAAAGTATCGTTTCCCTGAGGTTTGGAATGAGGAAGTATATAAAATAACATAAACTACAAATTTTTTCTCACTAGATGGCAGCACAAATTGTAAGATCTAAATGTCAATGAGGAAGTATAACTACGGCCAAAACCCCCCAAATGGGCATGCCCTGGGGAGGCCTACGTCCAGTAGTGGACTACAATAGGCTGATATATTATTCAGACAATACATTAATTATTATACATAGTTTGTATTTTACAGATATTGTTCCTCACCTTAATGTTTCTCTTTCTCCTTGGAAGTTAATATCATTACGAAGAATTTGTGAAATTTTCATTACTGTTGGAATTTCTTATCGTACTGTATTCTTTAACTTTGTTTTTTATCCAATCTAAATCAAAACTATCCAAATTAATTATTTTCTTTTCCCCTCTTCTCTTTTTATTGGGTGTAGAAAATACACCATCATTTGATGTGCCTTCACGTATGATTCGTCATACAATGGTACTTGAAACACCTAAAAATGCATCAAAATCTATTTAATACATAATCATTTAGTTTCCTTTAAAAAATATCAATACTACTCAGTTCAACTTACCGGTCAAAGCTACGACGCGCTTTAAAATCGAAGATTGTGTATAATTTTCACCTTCCCCCTCGCGAATTTAATGTAGACATTGAAAACAATATTTCTCGCTTGAGATTTAAAAGGTTTTTTAGACATTTTGTTATAAAATAACGAAATATGACGGGTGACATGAGTGGTGCAATATGAAATTCACCTGTTTTTATTTTTTTAAAATGCCATGAGATTCTGTTAGATCTATAATAATATTCACACTCACGATCCGCTAGGGGTTGCTGAGCCATCGAAGTAAAGTAAGTAGGTACTATACTAACGTTTTAATCTATTCCTATTGCTAACGTTTTAAGAAATAATCGACTATTAATATTCGATTTAGAAATCATAAACGTTAGTAACTGATTATTTTAAAAATCGATACACGGAAATCGATTTTTCACACCGCTATTTTTTGCGTATCTGTGCGCGTATCCCCCTTTGTCAATGGTGCAGGCTGTCTTTAAAAATTATTTACGGAATTCTAAGTTATTGGTGGTTATTAACACTGTTCCTTAAAAAGAGTTTACTCTGATCCGAGATATATTAAGAGTTTGTCAGAAATTTCTTTACAATATGCCACTTGAAGTCGAGCCTGTATTGAAATTCACTCGCATGAGTGAACATGCGTTCCCGCCAAAAAAAGGATCCGCCAAAGCTGCTGGTTTTGATCTAATGAGGTAGGTGTTCGCCTGGTTATATTTGTTATTTCTTTTTTATCTATAAATACCTGTTTTTATGACATATTCACTGTTTACTTAGCGCATATGACTACGTTGTGGCAGCTAGAGGAAAAGAGTTAATTAAAACAGACTTGCAAATTGAACTGCCTCCTGGTTGCTATGGTCGAGTGGCACCAAGGTCTGGCTTAGCGGTGAAAAATTTCATAGATGTTGGTGGTAAGTACAAAATTGTCCTACAACTGAGGTAGAGAAGAATTGTGTTGTTTTATAACCTGAAGGGTTAAAGCTTTATGACTATAAGAATGATAACTCGGGTATTTCTATATAACACAGTTAAAATAAATTTTCAAGCAGTAATTTTTTTCTCGTTAACTAATTTAACAAAATAATTGTGCATAAAGATTTAAAGAAACATTTGCAATCTCTTGATATCTACATTCTGTAAAATAGCAATATCATTTCTCTGAGAAGAAATATTTGACTTGGTGATTCTTAACCACTGTGCCGCGGTACTTTTGTGTGCCGCCAAATTTTTCAAATATATAATAATGTTAATATTATTAAATTATATCATTTAAAAAGCAAAATATTTTTAACATGAATATATATTTAAATCCACAAAAAAATATTTTTTTTATTATTTGTTTTGCAACACGTTTTTTCTTAGTGCCAAATTATGATGAAGCGGGGTGTGCGCCGACTTGAGACATATTCCTATTGCTATGCACAAAACGTGTTGTTTTAGTGTTAGTTGGGATTCACAAGGTGTTGCATAGTAGTTACTGCACCTTTTCTTTCGTTAAAATTGGCAAATGTATGTGATTCGGTTTAATATTAATTTATTTGCAAGTCAATTTATATATTTGTAAAATTTGTAAACCAAAAAAGCTTTAAACATATCATTACAATTTTCCACATCTAATTTGCGTGAATTCAGATTTTCAGCATTAGCCAACATTAAAACTAAAAAAAAAGATCAAGATTGTTAAATGTAGAAGATGATATGAGAGTAGCGTTGTCATTTTTACAACCAAATATAAATGAAATTATCAAAAAACATCAAGCTGAAATTTCGCATTAAAAATATTTTTATTATTAGCTTGTAATTAATCCCTTAATAAACGTTTAGTTATTATTGTAGTATATATTAGTTTATTTAAAATTTTTGTCATAAACTATTTATGCAGTGTGTTGTAGTAAGTAAATAATTTTTATCTTTTTCTTTGTGTGCCGCCAAATTTTGAAATCGTTAAATATGTGCCGCAACAAAAAAAAGGTTGAGAATCACTGATTTGGCTGTTTGTTTGTATTGAATAATCTTCTAAAACTACTAAATCGGTATGATAAAATCTTTTACTATTAGAATCATACATTATTTTTGATGAACATAGGCGATAGAATATTAAAAAAAGTTAGTGATAAATATAGACCTATCTGTAGCCTTAGCGATAAGATTTTTGTTCATGTTAAATTCATATATATGATTCCAAATTAGAATGATAAATGATAAAATTATAGTGAAATAAATGTTCACAGTGAATTGAAAAGTCAAAGACTACTAACTTCTCAGAGCCCTTCTTGTTTTTTCTTGTTTTGTGTTCTGATTTTATTACCATGTAAACATAAGTAAATATAGTGATGTTATAATACTAACAATTAATTTACTGACTGACTGTCCTGCTTCATACAGTTAGAGAACATTGTTACTTTTATTGCATTACCTGTTCATTACTCTAATGTTGAATTAGCTATATATTTTCAAACTGAACATTGAATTGTTTTATGCAGCTGGTGTAATAGACGAAGACTACAGAGGCAACGTTGGTGTTGTTCTCTTCAACCATTCGGACCAAGAGTTTTTAGTGAAGAAAGGTGATAGAATTGCACAGCTTATTTGTGAAAGAATCTCCTATCCAGTATTAAAAGAAGTTACAAATTTGACTGATACTCAAAGGGGTGATGGTGGGTTTGGGTCCACTGGTAAACAATAATTCTGTTTTTCTTTCTTATTCCTCACAGCCATATTTGAATATTTTTGTTGGAAGTAAGTAGCTTTGAAATTTGCACTTTTGTAATCATAAGTTTTACAATCACTTGTGTATAAAATTCTTTTGAAGTGGAATCTGATTAATCAAGTGAAATGTTATCATATTGTATCTGCTGCATATAGAATCTTAAACTGCCTAGATGTTTGGTTTATGATCATAAATTCAAGTTCAACCTAAATAAGTTCAAACATTATTCCATATAATAAATTAAAGCAATGCATTTATAAATTCAGTAAGGCCTTTGAGTGCTAAGTATTTGCGGGCTGAGAAGCATTTTTAATATTATGCATGTCCTTTGAAGTAAGAATAACCTATTGAAAATAGATCTAGATCTTTTTAGGTATTCACCTTTTCTCTATAAGTTCATCTATTAAACCTGTTGATGTTTTTAAACTGTTTTTGCATTATCTTTTCCATTGTGGTAACTTCTTAATTAGAAAGTAATAAACATTTTTATTAATTGTTGTTTAATTTTTTTTTGTTTTTGATATGCTTTATTTGGGTTGTTATTGACATCCACATATTATTATTAAAGCAGTTAAAATTTTACAATAAGTCTATGGTTTTTACCAATACAATCTAGTAATAAGATATAAAAACATAGCAATAAGCCTTTTATGTTTCTTCTAATGATTGCTGGAATCCACAAGTCCACATAATTAATTACACACTTATTTTAAACTCTTGCTTGATGTAACTATTGAGTTCCAATTTCTTCAATATTCAGTTTTTAAAGTTGTCAAGTACTGTTTCAAATTGCAGTCGCTCAGGCATTTCTAATGTATTTTTGGCAATTAGAGGTTCCTTGCGCTTTAAAAATGGTTTAAATAAGTTTTTCAATTTGTTGTCGTTATGTATACCAAAATCAAACTCTGCTTTTTCTACTCGTTTCTCTAGTATCTCTACATTGGAATGTAATCTTAAAACTACATCATTAACAGTAGCGATTTTTTTCGAGAGTACATTTATTTCGTTTCGATATTTTCTGACATCTTCTGTAACAGTTAAATTACAATCACTGTTTTTTACTCTTATTATCTGTAGTACACTTGTTAGTTCTTCTAACCTCGTCAACATATTGTCAATAACATCTTGCACAATTTGAAAACCATTGCATACGTCAAGTTTTAAATAAGTAGCATAATCTTCCACAACTTCTTGCAACATAATTTGGTTTGTATAATTACACCGAAATTAAGCTTCAAAGTCTGGATATATGCACTCGATTAAGCTCACTATCACTTTATCAAAAATATCAGTCACTAATTTTGACAAGTCTCGTAATGAGAACTGACATAGAGGAAAAAGTCTTGCTAATAACATTTCCATTTCGAATTTTCATCGAAAATAGATATGTGCTCATGGTACTCTTTTTTGTTGTGGCAAGCCACCGATGGAATGTTGAGAAATATCAAAGAAGGACCATGACCTTATTATGAAACGTGAACGTACAGCAAGCAAGCAATATTCTGTGATGTAAACTATAAAATGAAGAGATATTTTGGTGGAGTGGGTACGACAGACTGGACCTCCACTCTAACGGATGTTAATTAAAGCCTTATTGTTTCTTTGGCGGTTATTTTCAATATTGATTTTTGAAAAGACGGCTATATCCAGATTTATTTTTTGGAAGTGGACGGACAAACGTCCATAGAGTTAAGCTTGTTGTTTTGGTTAAATCTAGATTTAGCCGTCTCATCAATGAACCGTTTTTTAGATTTTTTATTGGGTATACTAGTTTACGGTCTACTGATAAACTGGTTTTTACGTGAACGTAAGTTACAAGCGTTGCTTGACCAGTCGAACGCCGCACGAACGGTCTGCAGAAGACTATATTTCTCTCCATTTTTTGCGTTAGAGGTGGTTAAATTAGCGCCCAGCTTGTTAATTAACACGCTTTTCTTTCTTAACGATTAACACTGCTAAGTAGGCATACGCGAAGGCACTAAGAATTTCATAACACGATTGACGCGTGACCAAACAAACGAACGAAACGAGACCGTGGTGGGTGATTATATATTACCTAAAGTAACTTCTACTCTTAAGTATTTAAAATATCGACTTAGTGAGCTTTGTTAATTCAGGAGATAAAATCATTAGTAATGACACGTCTGCCAACGATCGTGCTCACGCGTTAACAGCGCGGCCGGCTACGGTCTCGTTTCGTTCGTTCGTTTAGTCACGCGTCAATCGTTAAGAAAGAAAAGCGTGTTAATTAACAAGCTGGACGCTAATTTAACCGCCTCTAACGCAAAAAATGGAGAGAAATATAATCTGCAGACCGTTCGTGAGGCGTTCGACTGGTCAAGCAACGCTTGTGATTTACGTTCACGTATAAACCAGTTTATAAGTAGACCGTAAACTAGTCTATCAGTTCTTACACATTAAAAAAATAAAAGTTGAGTTGGTAGAATTGACAAAGTTCCTTGGTATTACACTAGATTCCCGACTACAATGAGATCTTCATATTGATAACTTGTGAAGTAGACTGAGTTCTGCAGCTTTTGCTGTTAAGAAAATTAGACTCTTGAAAAATGTTGAAACGGCAGGATTGGTATATTTTAGTTATTTTCATAGTGTAATGACGTATGGTCTACTGTTGTTGGGTTCTGCGGCTAATATTCAAGATATCTTTATTTTACAAAAGAGAGCTGTCCGCACTATATATAATTTATGGTCTAGGGAATCTCTCAGAGAAATATTTAATGAAATAAATATTTTGACAATTGCCTCTCAATACATCTAGAAAAATATTATGTACGCAAGAAAACATTATGATTCCTTCACAAAAAAGTAGTGTTCATAGTCTTAACACAAGAAATAAAAATAAACTTGCCCTTCCAAGCTTCAGACTTAAAAAAAACAGAGGATCATTCCTGAGTAAATGCATTGCTATGTTCAATAAAGTTCCACAAAACGTTATTGACCTACCCATAAATAAATTTAAAATTCATGTAAAGAACATACTTATAAGAAAAGGCTTTTATAAAGTTGATGATTATTTTAAGTACCGCAATGAATGAAATTAATAGTCGTCGCGTAGCTTTGTTTTATAACGACTAATTATATGTACCAACCTATGTCCTACAGACTTTGAAGTTGTATTTATTATTGAAATACGTATTATTTTGGTAATGATATGATTTATGTAAATGTCATTACTTATGATAAAGAACTGGTAAGTTTATTTCGCTTCTTCTTCTTGTCAGCTAAAAGACATCCTGAAGAAGTGATAGAGGAAAAAATTTTTTTTGGACTATTCAAAAGTGCTTGTAACAATCTTACTTGAATAAAGATATTTTCATTTAATTTTATTTTCCTTTCATATCATCGGTTTTTGTTGTTCAAGTAATACAATTTTTAATTTAGTTTAAAAGCCGTTTACAGTGCTTTTTCTTGTGTTCTTCTTCAAATAGGCCCCCCTGCCTCCGAAATTATTGTTTACACGATATATTATAAGGAGCACTTACAAACATTCTGGCTAAATAAAAACAATAAAATGGTAAACCAAATATTTCGGCAGAATATCCGGAATACTATTCGGTTATTCGGTAATACCACGGCGCATCTCTATTAAATATATTTAAACTTCTTGGGCATATACCACTACAAAGCATAGAGCATAAAGTATCCAAAACTCCAGTTTGTATCCTGTGTTTCGTAGTATCTATCAATGTTTACATTTAAAAAAAAAAACGTCATTTTTTTTCTTGACAATTGGAAACTTGTATTGTATGTAGCGTTGTTATTTTCGAGCTTTTTTCGTATGCGAAATAGTAATTAAGTCATGCTTCCATCGACTGGTTATTTTAAAGGTATTAATTGTCCGTTTTATGATAATGGGTTATGTGAACGCCCTTATTGTCATTTTCGTCATGTTAAAAAGGAACTACAAAGCACATCCAATGATACTATTGAAAGTGGAGCAATTCTTCAAAAATTAGTGTCTGCGGCGGTTCAAAAAGTGCTTCAACAAACTGATTCGGTAGGGTCGACGACTGAGACAGGCGTCACTACCAGCGATAAAAATAACTCCCAACCATCAGCAAAAGTCACATACAACCCTACTCCCATTTCTGAATTGAAAAAGATAAATTTAGACTCAGAAAATAAGGATGATGATAATGATAAAAAAAGAAGACATATCCCAGTACCTTATACCCCTCGGAAACCAGCTAGTTTGCCTATAAAGAGATCAATTGATACAAATGGTTCTTCTAAACCATTTATATATATACCACCTTCAGTCAAATATACACCTGGATTGACTGATTCAGTTCAACAAGATCAATACACTCCAAAAGGAGGAACAGAATTGGAGAATAAGTACCTACCTGGATCTGAGACAGAAATACCAGAATACAAACCAAATGAAACACAGAATGCAACTAGTAAACATAACTATGTTCCCTCCGATAAGAATGTCAGTAAAAAGAAAATACTAGAGTATAAACCTGCCAAAGTGTCATCTAAGAATGAATCTTCAACGGTAACATATCAACCAACACCAAGATCTTTAGTACCATGCTTTTCAAGTGATGAAGATGAACCAAATGGTAAGAAGAGAAAACTCTCTGGTGATCTTAATGGATTTGATGATTTAGGTCCAGAGTTTGATATTTTGGATCAAATTCTCGATGAAGAACAAGCTGTACAAGATAATGAATTGAAAAGTAAAGAAGTACAAAATAATGATAACAGTAATGAGAATAAACTGAAAAAAGAAAGCATAAAATCAAATAAAGATAAAGATATTAAAGAAAAGTCTTACAAAAGTTCTAAAAATGAAAAGCATGAAAAATCTAAAAAAGAAGAGTCTTCTATACATGATAAGCATAAAAACAAATCCAAAGAACAAGATAAAAAGTCAAGTTCAAAGAAATCTAGTAAAGATTCCAAAGGGGAACAAAAGTCCAAAAGGGATAGAAAAGAAATATATGACAGTGAAAAGAAACGGCATTCTAGTTCCAGAAGCTCTCAGGAATCCTCCAAAAAATCAAAACATCATTCAAAACATTCAGAAAAAGCTTCTAAACATTCCGATAAATCCAAAAATGATTCAAAAAGTAAGAAAAAATATGATCATCATAGAAATCACAAGAGTTCTAGGGAATCGAAAGATCAAACCAAACATAGAAAAAGCAAGGAAAAACATTCAAATGATAAATCTAATAGTGACAATATTATAACTGATGTTTTTGATTCAAATTGTGAGGACTTATATGAGTTATCAGAATCAGATGAAGAGTCTAGGGCAATGGAATGTAAAAGAATATTTGAAGAATATGTACCTACAGAAAAAAAGTGTCTTGATGAAGTTGTTGATAAAATAGAAAACACAATAGAAGATGAATATGTACCTACTAAAAAAAGAATATCTAGAACTGTGGACAAAAATATTAAAGTAATCCCTAAAGTACCAGTAAAACCAGACTTTAAGGTTAATGCTGCTCAAGCTATGTCAGAAAGATTAGCCAAGGTTAAAGAATATCATGCATCAAAAAAATTAGATACAATAGAACCCTCATCTAATAAAGTGGAGAGTCTTAAAAACGTGATTGGTACTTCCACTGTTAGTTCTTCTAAAATTCGTATTGCACATGTGCCTTATGCTTCAACTTTGATGAATGCCAAGAAGACTATATCACCAAGTGTAAGTATTTCAAAAATTGAGCCATCTACTAGTATTACAATAACTCAGACTGTCAAAAAAGGTACCCAAAGAGTAGCTCATATGCCAAATGAGAAATTCATTGATAGACCAGGTGTTCTTGAACCATTGGGTTCCAAAATAGCTGCAAATATTAGGTCTACTTATTTAAACATGATGATTGATGAATGTTTGAAAATTTATGTGTCAGCTGTAGATGCCTATGCAAGAGCGCAACATGAAGAATTAACAACAAGTAAAAAATGTTCTACTATCCAAATATATAAAAACTCTGCAGTCTTGACAGTGAACAGGTTAAGGAAAGAGTTTCAAGAATGTAATGGTGTTAAAAAATCTGGATCTGAATGTTTAACTTTACAAAAAATCCCAGTAGCGCCTATAGGAAATTCAAACACTGCTGGTACATGGAGTATAGAGAATAAAAATAGAAGGATTGTTGATAGTTCTAAAGAATTCACTGGAGCTAAACTATATAACAACATACGTAAGTGGCTTTTGACAGAAGAGCAGTTACAAGAAAACGGATTTCCAAGGCCACATCCTAGTGGTGATAAGGGACGAGCAATTATATTCGGTCAAAAAAAACAAAACCCTCCGAAAGGTTATATTAGAACTTGTTGCAGGTGTAAAAAGGATTACACCGTGGATAAAAAAGGTTTTGCAGCAGTCAAACAAGAATGTATTTATCATCCTAATAATAAGTATAGGGTTCGTGGAGAGGTTCGTTATCAGTGTTGTAGTCAAGATGGTTTTTCTGATGGGTGTTGTGTTGCTCCCAGTCATGTTTATGAATATGTTGATTATGAAAATCTCAAAGGTTATGTTAAAACATTGCCACCTGAAACAGAAAAGGATGACTATGGTGTATATTCACTTGATTGTGAAATGTGCTACACTACCCATGGGTTAGATTTAACGAGAGTAACAGTAATAAATAGTGACTGTAAAGTTATTTATGAAACACTGATAAAGCCATTACATCCTATTGTGGATTTTAATACGCGGTATTCTGGTATCACAGAGGAACAAATGGCAGGGGTTAAAACTACATTACTGGAAGTTCAAGCAACTCTGCTTGCAATGTTTAATAATAAAACTATCCTTATTGGACATAGTTTAGAATCTGATTTTAAAGCACTTAAATTAATTCATGATACTGTTATAGACACAAGTGTATTATTTCCACATAAAATGGGTCCTCCATACAAAAGAGCTCTTAGAAATTTATCATCAGAATATTTAAAAAAGATAATTCAAAATTCTGTTGATGGCCATGACAGTGCAGAGGATGCTACAGTTTGTATGGAATTGATCATTTTCAAACTAAAAGAAGATTTGAAGACCAGGTGATGTTTTTAAAAATATATATTTTTATTTGTATTTTAGAATTTGGGTTAATTCATCACAGTTACCATGGAATGAACAAAATAATACCTAATAGCTATTGGAACATTTAAGAAAACAATCTTTTAATATTTCCTATTTGAGGTCATAAGTGACAGATTAGTTTCCCATTTCCTTGGGGGCATGATTAGAATCCTAAATCATTTGATAAAAAAAAACGCTAGACACGACATCGCCTAATAATCAAAACTCATACTCGAAGTGTTCATTAATAGTATATAGAAACACAGCTATACATATTTATCATCTCTATGTTGGGTAAATGTAGAAAATTAACTTTTTTTTTATAGTATCACATGTGGCTGTTGTGGTATTATTCTTTTTTCAGGTTTCCAAGTGCTATATCTACTTAATTTGGGATCTAAGCAGTGTATGTGATAGATAATGTCTAACATTAAAGGTATGATTCGGATCTTGTTGTTTTGAATAAGCTTAAAGTCAATTGAGCAACAACTTTCACTTATTTAGTTATAAGGAAATTTTCAGTAGATACTGTCGTTTCAGTACACTTCACTACTTGACTGCCGCGATGGTGGGGTGGGGCACTGCTGCGCAGTAGTGCACACCAAGCAGCAGCTGTAGTGCTTTGGAGCTCGGAATGTAATTGCATTGCATTGCAAACCTATTGATAATATATTGGTGGTTCCCTTAGTGCTGCGGCGGCATTTTTTCGGCAGAAACGCTGCTTTCTACCGAGATCGGATCATACCTTTATTATCTAGCTGTCTGTAATTAAGTGCTTTAATTAATTTACTTGGGGCTCAATTTCTATTACGTTTATTTGTTATTTATATAAGACCTATTTGCGATGCCTCCCTGTGTACTTGGTTACAGTGATTTAATGCTTACAAGGCTTGTAAGCATTTTTTGATCTTGGCGTTATCGTGTCAATGTTGTATCTAAGTTTTTTATCCATAACCTAACTAAAACATTTTCTGAATGTGATTTGATTTGTACCCTTGTGTTACATCTAAAGCTTTTCTTGACCCTTACTTGAATTATTCTAAAATTATCCGACAGTTTTAGGTAACACAATAAAGTTTCATGTAAAGATGTTTGAGTTAGGGTCGGTCCATATATGACTGAAGATCCGTCGCGTATCATCGGTTGCGGAACATAAGAACTGACAAATTTTTAAGATATGATATCCAACCTCGCACATTTCACTTACGATCCGTTAGTCCGTCGAGCGAACTAACGTACACTTCCGTTGCTCCGCTCGATGGATCTTCCGTAAAACTTTCACCTTCAAAAACGATGGAATTAAAAAAGGAAATTTTATGTAGGTACTTCTTAGTTTGATGATATTTTATGTTCAAATTGAATTTGTAGAAATATACCACCACTAATAATATAGTTTTCTAAGGAACTAGGTAAAGACAATATTATTTTATATTTAGTTTAATTGATATATATGTATTATCAAATTAGATAAGCAATTCATTGTAAGGATTGTAAGGTTAATATTTAATAATTTTCTATAAATTATTTTTCTAATTAAGGAGTTTTATTTGTTGTTTATGTCGGTCTTTAACGAGTGTCTGATATAACTTTCTAGCCTTGCTTATGAAGTTATACAAAAATGTACGATTTACTCGCGTTATAGTTAGTTTCTACCACTGTAAAGTGATTGTCAATATGCATTTACATTGTATTTAAAAATTTTAAGGTTTATCTATCATTTTGAGGTAGTCGTTTTGCTACTATTGTCATTTTGTCGTTCGTAAATTGTACAGTTAAAATTACAACCATTCATCATCTCTATATTATTCAAAAAGTTCACTGGTGTGTGGTTTCCGAATTTTGATTTCAAAATCATAGAATCAAGCACAACCTTAAAGTAAACATTTAAACGTTCACATAGCGGCATTGGGTCGGCGTTGTACTACGTCTATCGTATCCTACTAATAAAGACTCAAAAGATCGGAATCGCTCATTAAGCGATATAATAGTTACAACGCGTTGTGGCAATCGCAGAATAATCAGAGCGAAATCCGTGTCGTTACTGACATGCTATTCGACCTCAACGCGTAGTGGTAATGAATAAAAGTCACGACGCGTTCTGAGCATTAATTAGTTTAACTGTTGTTTCATTTTATAATAGCGATTCGCTTCTGGCACTTCGACGGCCGTTCTAACCTAACTCTAATACTAATCAAATATGGTTCAATATGCTTCATGGTTTTTCATTGCCACAACGCGTTGTAATCGAATAGCATGACAGCCACGACACGGAGATCACTATGTGGTTATTCTGTGAATGCCACAAAGCATCATGCGCGTTTCCTTAAGAGTCATAACACGAATCTCGATAGATATTTAAGCGATTTCGATCTTTGAACGTAATATATATATATATATATATAATATTATAACGGCGAAAGTTTGTATGTTTGTTACTTCTTCACAATAAAAGTACTGAACGGATTTTGATGAAATTTTATAAAAAGGCAATTATTAGTTTGGATTAACTTTTTTATCCCACTAAAGATTGAATTACTCGTACTTTCAAGTAAAAATATTCAACATAGTGAAAGTCTTTAAAAAGAAGATTTTGTTTATTTGCTCGGCATATTTTTTTGCAATAATTCTATTCATATTACAAAGAAAAGAGATTTGATTGCTTGTTTGTTTGTTTGCATTGGATAGGCTCTGAACCTATTGGTCTGATTTATAAAAGTCTCATCTTTGGGAAGCTACATACGCGTTGGACATAGGCTATAATTTACACAGACGAAGTCGGGGCTAATTTAATAGAAATTAGTTCACAATTCAAGAAGAAATCGATTAACTTACCTACTTTCATAAAATATATACATACTCCTTGGGCATAAAAAAAATCCTCGTTTCAGATATTGAATGAATTCTAAACATGCAATCTTTTGATCTTTTGTTTTTAGCTGAAATACACGAAATACAATACATATCATGTAAATATTTTGGTAAAAACTGGTGTAAGACTTATTTTATTTTGTTATAAAAGGAAAACTACTGATTTGATTTCCATAAAATTTAAATGGGACCGAAACGGTCCATTAAACTGTCGAATAAAGAATTATGAAAATCGGTTCACAATTGGCGGAAATGTGAACATACATAAAAAAAACATACCGCCATTAAACATATAACCTCCTTTTGGATTTTGAAGTTGGTTAAAAAGTTGGAGAGCTTTAAATTATTTATTTTTGATTAGGCTGAATGTATGGACACTTCATTCGACTAGATGACTTCTGTAAAACCAGACTGTAAGCAAAAATAGTCTATTATTTTGGTACTATACGATAATCTCACTAAGTGAAATGTCAATTAATATTCGTAAGATAACTATACCTATAACAACAGTATATTCTAACCAATAAAAATCAGCTGTGTGTAAAGGACTCTCACTTAGCCGGCAAAAATCCGGCTAAGTGCGAGTCGCAAATGCGTACGGAGGGTTCAATTGTAACGCGAAAAAAAATCACATTGGTTGTATGGGATTACCCTTAACTATTTATTTTATTATTTTTTTTAGAATTTGTTATTATAACGGTAACAGAAATACATCAGAAGTAAAAATTTCAACTGTCTAACTATCTCGGTTCATGAGATGCAGCCTCGTAACAGAGGGACAACGGAGCCTTCGTACTAGGGTTCCGTTTTTCATCGTTTGGGTACAGAACTCTAATAAAATGCCTTTTAACCCACCCTCCCCCCTCCTGTCACATGTTTGTCTATACAAATTCTACTAAATATTGTTCTAATGTCACAGTTCGTTGACCCTACCCCCCCTCCTAACGTGTGACGTAATTTATGGATGGCCCCTTATAGGTACTATTACAATGCCACCGATGAGGTAACTAATATCGGGGATGTAGTATAAAAGTTTTCATGTTTTTACCCGACTGCAAAAGAAGGATGATGTTTTTCGCGCGTATCTTATATGTTCTTTATTACCTCAAATCTTCAGAACTGAAGAACGTTGAACGTAATAGTAGCCCAAGTGTTAAACAACATCACGTACATTGTTAAGATTCCAAGATGAGTAGCTAAAGCCCCCGTATTATGGAGTATCTGAGACAACGAAGGTACCACAACATCAGATCCGAGACAATATAGGAAAGTTCATTTTGTACATTGACCCGACCGGGAATCGAAACCGGGACTTCAGAGATAGCGACACCTAGAAACCGGCGTGAGAACCACCCGGTTAAGGAGGTCGTCTATAATATGTAAAAATAATACAATGATAAAATTTTAAAATGTGGACTTTGTTCTTTCACTTTCTGAAACAACCTGGTAATATAAATGTAACTATAAAGTAATGATATTACTAAAAAGACTTGAATAAAATTTTAATTAAAAAGAAAACAAAAATCCCGCTGTCGTGAAAAATAAATGACTGAAAAGGCTGGAACAAGACAAAAATGTATGCAACATCATACTTAACATGCAATCGGAAGCATAAAATTGAATAATAAGTCAAAACATTCTCTATTTCAGTTAGTTGTTTTTCATGCTGGCGGGTTTTGTTTTTTAATTACAATTTTTTTATATAGTCCTTTGCTATTAGAAAGCTTAAAACCCGTATTTTTCGTATTGTTATTTAAAAAAGTTAAAAAAGGTACATTTAAAATTAATAAATCCCAGGAATAAAAGTTCACTTTGGCATCAAGCTTATATCTTGTTTCGATTCAATAAGTATATTTAATTTTGATTCGGAAGAAAAATCAATGGCTAAGTTTTAACACTCTGACTTCAAAAGTAAGTTCAATTTTACAAGTCTGTTTATCTATGAAGATAAACATTTTTATTTTAGAGTTCCTACTATTTATGTAACAACCACCACATCTAGATAATTTAGGAGATGTAGTTCTCGCAGTTTTTATTTATTTATTAAAAATAAACTTTGGGTCTAATTTTGTCAAAGTTTTAATGGGGTTATTTCGAAAATATACTCTTTAAAACAAAATAGTGCAAAACGGATACAAGAAAGAAGCCAAATTGAAACCTATTCTTATTCTTTGAAGCTGGTTAAAAATAAACGAATGTAAATATGAATACCACCCAAACGAAGTTGCGGGCAAAGCTAGTATTGTATAATATTCCCACTGCTGGAGCACAGGTTTTCTCTATGGTAGACTGCAGATTAATTCGGCGCTAACAGTTTATCGTTCTTTTCGAAGCATTGAAGAACTCCAGATGGTATTTTTCGGTTCACTGTCCTGTCTGTCCTGTGCCGGCCTTTAGTTTGTTTATTCAAATTCAAATATTTAATGAACATTTTTTAACGAACTATTAACAGGATTTTATGATAATGTGCAAAAAGATAGCAGCAAGTACAATTATTCAAGTTGTTCACTATTCCTCACAAGCGAAGATTTTAATCTATTCATTGTCACATCCCCAATGGTTTAATAAACACAACCCACAGCGGTTCTTGGAGAAAAGCCAATATTTTTTATTCTTAGTAGCAAACCGGCATTTGCCAAAGTACTTAAAATTTTATTACTAGAAGGCTGGGGCAGCTAAGAAGGTAAGAAAGATCGATGGTGTAGTGATTAGCACGTTTGGTCTGCGTTTTCGTAGGAAGAGCAACTTTCGCAAAAGTCATCCATCGAATTTGTGACCAATGAATAGGTATATCGAACTCTTCCTGTGCTTCGGAAGGCCCATTAGGTAGGTACTTAAGCTTAACATCTATTTCATCGCTCTAACATCGCCAACACAATCAACGGCAAAATGGCAGTTTCGCGGTAGCCTACCTTGCAGCAAAATGTAGGCCAGGGCCGCCACATCTCCAAGTCGGGCCCGGGACCAGATTCTGGCCACGCCCCCACCCCTTTTTTTTTTCGCCGCGCCACTTTTACTAGAGAGCCATCTCTAGTATATAGATAGCCATATAATAATTGTTAAAAAAACTATTAAACCTTCTCTAACTCTACTTCTAACCAAAAAATAAATCATTTATATTTCCTACCAAGGTTCAGTGTTCGAATAAGAACACTTGAGGGGGCTGAACTCTTACATCACTACGTTTTATTCTACATTTAATTTAATTTTAATCAAATAAATAAAGTGTAACTGAAGAATTGAAAATTCAAGTATTCATAATACCAACCAATTATTTAATTACCAGCCAATTACAAAACCATAAAAATGCCATAAATTAGCATGAAACGAAAATTCTATATCCAATCAGTCATAGGATTTTTTATTTTAACTACTTTAAATACAATTATTGGTGAATAGACGGCGTATTTAGAGAAGTTCCAATTTACTAATTCCTCAAAAGTACGATTGTGGCAGAAATTATGATTGACTAAATTTTATAAAATCATTAATCAACACATATAACTAACTTTATTTTAATGTTATGGACGGATTAAAAAGGAAAGTCTCTGTATACAAGATGGCTGAAGGAATTAGTTGAAACAATGATTAAATCAAATATAATCTTAACAGGGCCCGTCAAGTGTAACACACTCTGTTTCATATAGGCCTAAAAATACTTTATTTACTAAATACAGGACCGGACCGGGGCAACAGTACCCACTTGCCCCCCCCATGTGGCGGCCCTGATGTAGGCACGCTATATGCGACTGTTTATCACTATAACAACCCACATATTCCTTTACTTCATCTTATATAATATAGCGACAAGCTTTTAAAATCGTAATCTTTTCGATTTACGTATTTTTATTTCACACCCATATCATGATAATCACAGCACACAGAAAGAAATTCACAAAAAATGACTAGGCATCTTGGGTTGTCCGTGCTATTATTATTTAAAACGATGTAGCTAACTGGGATAAAACCATTCATTGGCACCAATTCTGTTTGTACAACTCTAAATTATAAAAGTAATTTAGGTATTCTCGTTATTTTAGTTGTTTAAAGAACAGAAAGCGCAGTTTTACAGGATTAAAGTTGATCGGTCACGGTGAGCTAAATTAATTTACTATAGAAATAAGTTCAGTGAACTAAGGATAAACTGAGAAATATTCCTTTCGACGGATTTACGTCCGTCAAAAAATTAAAACTACGTTACTATATTTGTGCTGGAGTGCAGAGATAACCAGACGTGATAAAGAGAAGATTAAAGATAACCGTTTTAAAATTCAGTTTTGAGATTGGACGAACAGACATACATTTAATATCACTCGAGTATAGTTACAAAGTATTTCGACACAACTTTTTGGCGCGTCGGTCGTTGTTTCCGTACATAAACTAGCATTTCCATAGATATCGAGGTCGATCCTAGTTGCCCAAAGTATGCTGAGGATTTCAAAAATGCTAATATTTGCCTAATAATAATCATTTTATGAAAATTAAACAAATGATCGATCGCTTGCTAAAAACAGAAACATCAATTTAGATAATTGGATTGGATAATTAATAGCAAAAAATCGCAAAGATAACTCTCAAAAGATTTATTGGAATGATTTTACGAATGAGTTTTTTTTGTAAAATACTGTCATACTAATGTGACCGTGACCATGAAAGATTTTCATATAATCTAAATTATACATTGTTTTATGACTGCATTTGTTTTTTTCTATGATTAAAAATGTATGATCTCAAGAGCGTGCGTCTTTACTCTCGATGCTTATTATTATGGTAACGTAAGCAGAGGTAAAAGAGCAAGTCCATTATAATACCAATAGAATGTTACAAAGGTAAAAACGGAGCCGAACTATTATGCGAGTGTTGAAAGTAAGCAATATATATATCGCTATCCATAGAACTATGGTTCGGAAAATGAATCGTTTTTGTGAACTTTTAGTTGTACGGCACATTAAAGGTCGCCGACTGCCCTGTTTAAAAATAGTATGTCGGAAATGATACATAGTTCTATGGTTAGCGAAATCTATCGTTTCCTCTCAATGCTCATATAATAATAACTTCATTAACAAGATTCATGGCTGGAGCCATGGCCCTACTTTCTGTATGATAGTACTACTTCAGAGATTAAGATGGTGTGTGAAAATAAAATTAACTATGGATATTGGTATTTAGGCAATCTTGCAAAATTCGTTTTGATATAACTATACAACTGCTTAGGGATATGATAAATAGAAAAACGCTGTTTAAAACCGAAAATAATATTTTACTAGAAGACAAAATATTACATATCGTAAATATGTCGTCACAAAATGTGAGACATTTAAACATTATTAGATTAGAAAACAAGAAAACTGCTACACAGTATTTGAAAGAATATCCATTGGGACACCTTGTAACAAACCTTAGTTTTTTTTTTGTGCAGCAGAATGGTATTAATGACCATTTTATTGTACTGTCTTAAGGTGTAAACATGTTAGAGAACAAGAAGACAACAGAAATTGAAATATCCTGTTTTCCAAAAGTATAGTTTATTGTAGTATCCTACATAAACTGTAGAACTAACAAATAAATTTGCATCAAACATAACATAAAAATATTCACATATGAAAAAGACAATGGAGTAAATATTCTTATTAGTAAAAATATAAGTAGCTCAAATGAATTAATTCTATAGTGAAGCCTGAATGTATTCAGCATAATTTTATTTTATTATATACTATATGTTCCATGAAATATTCCAAACATTCAAAATATTTTGATTGGTAATGCAAATCTATGGTAACTTTGAGATGTTGTTAGAAAAACAAATAAACCACACAAAAGTACTGTTTTTTTATTAGCTAAATTTGAATAACTTAGTATTATTGCTTTAAAGTTAAGTTTTTTTATATAGTTTACAATGAATAATGATTAACCATACAATTATTTTAAGTTTAGAAATCTGAGTGTATGATGAAATATTATTTTACCCAGGATCACAATTTACTGAACTGATTAGTTCAAATTGTTGTTTAGGTTTATTTGCAAAAACACTCTTGTCCCAATGAATTTACATGGAGGTATACGCCGGTGTCATCAGCACAGATCCTGCATGTCTCTGATGTCTGAGGTCCTGGCTTTCCCCTGCTAATCAATAAATGATTGTTCTACACATGCTTTCACCCGTTTTTCATATTCCCTCCTATTCTCCTTGTATAGTTGTGCTGCCATTGAATTAGCTGGTGAATTAGGGTTAGGGTCACTGAGTAATGACTGGAAAGAAGTTTAATATATAAATTAATAAAATATTGTAGGTAATGGGGACTTTGATAAACATTATTGAGGTAAAATTTAGACTAGTCAATTGGACTTATTTAACATTAAGTTTTTCACAGTATGAAAACAAGAATACTTTTAGTGTTTATAATACTTACTTGTATAGATGTTAAAATTGCAGAAACATCATAAGTAGGACTCCATCTGTTTTGCAAGATGTCTAAACAAATACCACCATCAGCATAAACATTTGGATGAAACATTTTGGATACAAATCGTACTGTAGGAGGTTTGTTAGGGTATTCTTCTGTAAATTCAATAGTTAGTTTAAATGTTCCATCCTCAAAAGGAGTATCATGTGGGCCAAATATAACAGCATTCCAGATCATGATGTTGTTATCTGTTGGAGCACCGGAGACACCAGTAGGAGGATCCTCTTGTAAACTAAAAGTAGCAGGAGAAAGTTTTTACATTTAGTAAATTAAAATACATTACTTGCTTGAAATAAACAGCCGACTCATGTTCTAGCTTGGAAACATTCTTTCTTCCAAGATGAATAAAAGATAAGATTATAAATCCGTTTACATTCTTGTGAGTTTTAAAATTTTCGTATATTAGTAAAATACTGAAGAAACTAAAAAATTTTAGGTTCCTCCAGTACATATCTGCTAAATTGTGAACTTTAAGATTTTATGGTGTGTTGAGTTGAAATTAGTATTCAACATTTAAGTTTTAGTAGTAGGTCTACATGGTAAGTATCAAAACATTTAATTAGGTTGTAGGTACTACATGAAAAAATGTAGTTGGTTATCTTAATTGGCATTAATATAATAACAAATATTTCTCGTGTGGCATGTTATTATCCGCTTTTAGTGAGTTGATTTCTTAACTACATTTATTTTCTGTCATTTAGCTAGTAAAATTAGTTCCAAATGTAAATGTAGAACAGAATAGAAATCGATGAACATGACAGTGATGTAATTTGATGAATCACTAGTTTTTGCATGAATTTAAGGTCAGAGCAAACTACAATCTATGTAACATAAGACGTTTGACGCATTTTGACGAAATTAACTAACAAAGAATATTACAAACCGTTTGAAATCTCTCATTAGGCGTCTTCTGGCAGGAGTTGACATTTTGAATTGGCTCGCTTACGACTCCGTTAAAGGCCTAACAGTTTTTTAAACTGATTATTTCATATGATTAATCTATTTTAATATCACAACAAGTTTTCTTGTACACAAAAGGTTTCCCCTTTGTCGTTGTAAAAAATTTGTCGTCACGACACAGATATTGAGGAGATGGTTGTCACTCGATGATCATGAACACAGACAACAAATATATAGAGGGCAACAATGGAAAACAAAATTTTGTCTATGGGAAAAAAACAAAAAGGGAATAAGTTCAATAAAACCACTTGCAAGTCTGAACGATATTCATGGTAGCCAAACGGAGTTCATGTTGATGGAATGCTCAATGGAAAGCGTTAAGTAAAAATGTTGGAAAACATTACGCCTATATACAAGATGTTATCCCTCCTAAACCATGGGTTTGTTAGTTTAAAAATACATCTTAGTCACCTAAAAATTAGGATCACTTTGTGATGATTTTTTCCTTAAATACCACAAATTTTAAAACCATCTTAAGACTCCCTTTGTTGAATTGTCTTGGTTTTGTCTTGCAATGGCTGTATGGGCTAAGATCTGTTCGCCTTTCCTTTACAGAAAAATCTACCAAAAAAAAATGGTTTTGTCTTGTTTTGATTTATATCTATGTCGCATTTCCTTTTCATTAAACATGTAAAAATTAATTTATTCACTTGATATTGGCAGAATTGTTCGAAATGCGCAGATAAGCCATTAATAAAAAAAGAAGTATACCTGTATCTATTCATAAATAACTATGAATGAATCAAATTCTAAAAAAATACTTTTCAATAAATCGACCGTAAGATATCATCTGTTAATATTCTATTACATTTTTTTAACAATGGAATTGCTTAATTATGTTTATGCTAGAAAGTCGAGATCTTTGATTTTTGTGGTGACGCATTGTGCCATTAAAGTTAAGAAGAAGAATATCATTTGTTTTCCACTACATTGCATGTTTTAATTTCAAAATTGTTTTGTTGAATGAATGTATTTTAAACGTGTAATGGTCTCCTACATGAAGTTGGCAGTAATGTGGTGACGCAAAGAAGAAGAAATTTGAATTGTTAACCTTACGATTTCTTTATTGTAGTTAGTGAGTTTGAAAGCGGAATTATTGAAGAAACAAGAAGAAGTCAAGGGGAAAAAGCAATCGCATCGACACCAGCTCGAAAACTTTAAGCCAACTCCAGCTAAAAGCTCTAATAATGACAAACTCCTCAAAAGTGGTAAAAAGAGTTTTAAGGATAGTTTAAATGCCGTGGACACAGATGAATTAGAAAATAACAGGAAAGTAAGGTAAATATGGTATCAAATTATTATGACCTACAGATAAAACACTAAATCTAATAAATTTACTAGGATATGAGTTTTCTCTGAAAAGTTATATCTGTATTGTTATATTTGATTAACTCTTCATTCACAATGCAATACTGGAAAACATTCATAAACATGTTCAATACTGAAACATTCTCAATGAATAATGTTTAAAAATCCACCATTATACTCCGATTTCAGTTCAGATTTTTTAAGAATTTATTGAAAATCATTGAGAATATCCAAATGTTGTATTGTATTTGTGATGTGTGTTGTTAAATAAATATATATCCTTTCTGACATGAGCAATACTTTTTTTAATAATTTTATTTTGTGTTAAAACCTGATCTGCAATCGGCTCATTAGCCTTTAAATTAGTCGTCAAATTAGAAAACACCTTCTACTTTGAAGATCAAGTTCTGTGGTCCATGTCCATAATTTGCCATCTTTTTTGGCGCTTAATATTTTCTTTGACAAGCTCTTTAGCCAGTTATTTGGTATGCCGATTCAATCTTTCTTTATTTCTTCTATTTTTGCAGATTTCTTTGATAGTGGGCACTTCCAGATATTGGTGTACTTCCAAATGCCTTACAAATCAATGTGCCCCTGATATGGTACTTTGAGCGACATTCTGAAATCTCTATGTTTGCATCACTCGCTAAACCCCAAAGGTCCACACCAATATGTCCAAATTGGTTTTATAATCGCTTTGTAAACCAGTAGTTAACCTTTGTAAAGATTGACACTGTATCTTTGCCTCCTTTGTCTTGGCTTTAATGTGATTAGCCCAAGTTAGTCTTCTGTCAAGATGCAGACCTACATTCTTTACACTAGACTGATTTAGTAGTGTATGATTTTCAATTTGTACTGGTGCCTTTTTGCCTTTCCATAGTGTGAACATGATTTGTAGGGATTTGTTTATGCTAGGTGTGATTCTCCACTTCTGAAACCAAATTTTTAAATAAATATAATCATTTATCTAAGCAGAAAGTTTTAAAAATAGAATTTACCTTTAAATTTGTGATTTAAGCCTATTTTTATTTACTATTTCTACACTACATAATGAGAGACCTTAGTTCAAACCAATATCTAAACAGCCAGTTACTTGTGATTAATTTAAAGTGGCATTACCCATACAAATTTAATGTTTATAAGAGCTCAAAGGCTCCATTAAACCTTACTGGATGCTTGTGCAACGGACCATATGGAAAGTATTTTTAAGTTATAATGACAATGGAGGGACCATTTTAATTACAGCACTAAGTACACAGAAATGAAACAAAATATATTTTGTTTAAATTATAAAATTGTTTCTTCAAATTGTTGATATTGTATAAAGTTAAGCTGTGGACACAAACACAATGCTTGTACATTGCATATGGGTAAGGTCAGAAATCTGCATAAATCCAGAGTCACTATTTCTTTCAAGATTTATGAACTGTGTTATTACAGAAAGGTTGAAGTTTATTGCTGTTTGTATAATAAAAGAAACTTTTTAAGTTTTAAGTATGTCTAATAAGGTGGATTAATTTTTTTTTTTTTTTACTTGATATTTCATTGTTTTTAGTGATGAGTAAGAAAATTCTTATTGCTTGGCAATGTAACCTTTTCTGATCCCCGATGCAAAAAGAGTTTGACATGTCTGTGTGTGTATCTGTTGTCTGAGGCAATGTAACTCCCGAAGGGATGAAGTGATTTCATTTTATTTTTTTGTATTAAAGGTGACTTATGTGTGCGAGTGTCCTTAGCCATGTTTGGTGAAAAATCAGTTGAGCCATTTAAAAGTTGTGTGGGCTGAAAATGGGGAAGAATAACTGAATGTCTGCAAATATACTTGGGTGGGGTCTCAAATGAAAGCGCACTGAGAGAGAATATTGATGACTTAATTGATAGTGTTCTCAGCTTCGGTTGATGAGAAAATTATAATATTTAAGAGTTGAACACTAATATAAACATTAAGTAACAATTATTAGTTATGGAAACAAAAACTAGTAATTAATAAGTAAAATGAAAGCAAGCAATTTTTAATTAAAAGAAATATGTTGCGTTTGGGGATAATTTAATATGTCTATTTCCCTAGGTACGTTAAGATTGGGTTTCTTTTAGTATTTTTTACTTTTTGAAGGGAACTTAGGGTTTTGTGTTGGGGTTTTCTAAAATTTTTAATTTAATTTTGTAGTGACATGCAATAAGTGTTGATACCATTTAAATTATGTCACTTAATATCAAATTGATTACAAACTCTCACTTATGTTATTAGGTTGGCCTTAGAGAAAAAGTCAGAGCTTTATGATCATTTAGCTGATAGTGCTGGGACCTCACACCTTGCTGGACAATTCTTAGTTGATTTTAATAACAAGAAATTGCAAGACCAACAAAATGATGAACGCAACTTGGAAGAAGGCATTGGTGTTAACAACAGAGATGATGACGATGAATGGTAATAGTAAAATTAAGATACTTTTGGCTTTAAATTCGGTATAACCGTTATTTTGACTTATCTAATTTATTCGTTTGTTACTGTCTAATGTATTAAGTCATATCTTCCAATAAATGATGGCCAATATTTCTTTAAAATCTTGATTAATATGAAAATTAATGTTTAAACATTATTGTATTGTATCAGTTTTGTACATTATTATCTACTTTTATAGGATTGAGTTTACGGATTGCTTGGGTCGTACACGAAAATGTCTTAAATCCGATAAAGAATTCTACATTGAGAGAGACAATAAGCTGAAGTTAGGTTTATCAAGAGATCACAATAGTAGTGAACAACAGGAGACAGTAAGTATTTTTATGCCTCATATTTAGTAAGTAGGTATTAACTTTATTATGAAAATAATTTATTATAAACACTAGAAATTGAATGGTCTATCTATATCAACTAAAATAATTTATTTAAGTAACATTTTTTCGATATTTACTTATGTTGAAATATGTTGAAGCCAACTGGTTAAAACAGAATGACTATTCTTATATGACTAGTCTTATAGTTGTAACATCGCACGTTGAGAACGATAGTGACACAATGCAAAAAATGCGATTTTGAGTAATGAGCGTTTAAAGTTCAAGAAATTGTAAGCAGCCCCTCTAAATAACGTATCGTCACTACGCCACCTAGCAGTTTCTATGCAAGCTACGTTCACAGGGATCTTTGCATTTTAAAGTTATAAACTTTAAAATGAAACAAAGAAAAATGTTGCCAAAAGTAAAAAATACATCGTTTTTGGTTAGTGACATTTTTATTCTCAACGTGCGACATTTAAAAGTTAAATAGGTAGCCCCTGTAACATTCATAAGTATATATCGTTGTCACGGTGGTGGCGCATTATTCAATGTTTTTATTCGAAAGAAGAGAAAAATAGAAGTGATAACTAGTTACCTACGAGTTTCGCAAAGATAATAAAATTTTGAGAAAAGTTATCGATTTTGAAATTTGAAATCATCTAAAACAGGCATTCTAAATTTTTGTTTGGTCTCGGAATTCTTATTCAATAAATATTTTCATTTCATTATAATTACCCTTACTCTAACTACTTTACAACCTAATTTATCACTTCGTCAATAACACATATAAATTACCAATGAAAAAATGACACTTAAATTAATTAGCCTTATAACCGTCTTATATCAATTTATTGTACTTTCTAAAAGCTGTATTTTAATTTTAATTTTATTTTCTTAGGAAAAAGGTAATAAAACCGAAATGCCATTTTTGGTTCAAAAAACAAATGATTACCTTCATTCATTGCGTGAAAAGTGGGAACAAAAGGAAAAGGAACTATTGGGGAAAGATAAAGACATTCACTATCAAGACTTATTGTTTGACGGTATGTATTAAG